GCTTAATATATATTAGATAGATAATTAAAACAATCAATGTTTAGAAACCCATCTCGGGTCCGAGTCGACTTGGTGACACAAGCAACTAGAAATGGTTTGCCAGGTTTGGCTTTACAGGGCCAGAGATCTTTTGAAAATTCTAAATAACAATCAATGAATACATTACTTATTTTAATTATTAGAAAGTGTGAATACCCATAGTGTAGTTCATGTATGAGTGCCATAGTCATTTCAAGATATAAAATGCAGTAAATCTCAATAGTGATATCCATAATACTGATTAAGTCCATGTTGTCAGGTTCACTTTAGAGTCTGTTTCGGTTTGGTTTAAAAAATGAAGCAATTCAGTGCTTGAGCTAATTCGGCAGGATACTTGTTTTTTTTATAATTTTAAAATATATATTTTTATAATTTTATAAAAAAAAATTAAAATAAAATTTCTTAATAATAAATAAATTTATTATAAATGAAAAATATAAAAATATAAATATAGACTGACATTGAAATGACAGACAACATCCGATGACTTAATGTCGGTTGGCCTTTCAAGAAAACCTCATCGAAATATTAAAACTGTCATTCAATATATCGTTTGAGTCCCAACTGATACCCCCCTAAACTTCATTATGTTTGTACAAAGAGTAACTTCATTATATTCGTACAAAAAGTCAAAGACTAATCCGAGCATCATTGAAATTGTCGATATATATACAAAGTCGATATAACCAAAGCTTGACCTTTTCAGTTGACACCCGTCGACATTATAAATCTCTTTTGCCGCAATACACTAGATTTCAAGGTAAAATACTAACTTTTGGAATCAATGCATTTAATTCTTTGCTTCTCTTCGGTTGAGTGGGTAAAACCGAAGGCTTCAGCTTTTCTGAAGCGAGCCGAATTTAACAATAGAGGATTAAGTACCAATATTATGTTTAAATAAATCACATATATACTAAAATGAACAATGTGATTGCTCATAGTCATCTCTACCACTTTCATCCCGACCATTATGACACGATTAGGTGAATTGTCAAGAAATGAGTAAGGATTTTGGAACCCAAACTGATTGTATCCATCCCAATTGGAAGGTGTATCCACTTGTAGCCCAAAGTCCCAAAGATTGGTCCACCCTTCATGTATCCTCCAACTCCTCATTTATTTTGATGAGCTCTTTAAAAGTTACAAAATTTTAAATTTCATATTCATTTTTAGGGAAAAGAAAACCAACAAAAAAAAGAGCAACAAAGAAATATGCTGCATTAGAAATTAAAGAAAAAGATAAACAAAAAACTCTAACCTACTTAATAAAATTACAAGAACAACAACGACAACAATAATACTAATACTTATGAAAATTTTTCAGTTTTAGAAAAATTATTTAAGAGAACTCTTAATCTGAACCATACCTAAGTGAGCCCTAAACAAAATAAAAAATAAAAAACACGAAGATTATATTTATAATTTTTTTTAATTTTCTCAAAATTTTAGAGAAAAAATTTAACTATAAATACCATTCAAATACTATACAAAGCTTTACTTAGCACCACATGGAGCAAAAGAAATAATAAGATCTAACATAATATTTATTCAAAGTTTGCTACAAAAAGTAAAAATTATTAAAAAATTATCTAAACCCTATGTAGAGAAAAATTAACATAATATTTCTTAAACTTTTTGAGTTAGTCAAAATTTTTTCAGAAAGACCCTAAATCGAGACAAAAAAAAAATATATACATGGATATTATAAAGATAATATCTAAACCCTACCTGAGACAACCAAGGAGGAAAAAAAAGCATAATAATTGAAAAATTCTTGGATTTTCTTATAAATTTCTAATAATATCCTAAACCAAGAAAAACAATAAAATAAATATATTTATTTTTGACAAGACAAGAAAATAAAAAAAATAAAAATATTTATTATTCAAAAATATAAATATACTGATTTGGATCGGCCCTAACACCTTCTAGATTAAAATTCCAACATTGTTGATTGAAACTGAAAACTTGTATTGATTGGAGTAAGCATGGGTGATGAAAAACCTAAACTTTAGAGCTCTTCAAATTTTTGAGTTCCCACACTAAATTTCCCTAGAGTTTTGATAGAGAGCTTAGCCACAAATAATTTAAAACAAATTTAAAATTCTTCGGTTTAGATTTGAGGGAGAAATTGATAGATGGGTATTTAAGGGTTCATAAGCAACAATTTTATATAAAAAAGGATAAAAAAATAACAAAATTGAGTGCCTAAGTTTCATTACCCCCATTGATTCACCCAAAAAAAAAAAAAACAGAAGTTTCATTATAATCAATCTCAAATTATTTTTTGCATCTATTAATTACTTGTGGAATGTAGGGCAAGGTGAATTATTGGTCTTAAAAAAGCCAAAAAATTGTTGTTTTTCATGTGACTAAAAATACTTAAAAGTGATTGAATATGGGTAGATTAGATGGCTAGGATTGTATGACTCTTAATGTTTAAATTTTATTTTTTGCTTGACAAATCTGGTTGACTTGAAAACTTGGCACTACACTCTTTTTAATGGGAAAGGTTTCTATGCTTCCCTTACAGAATAGAAGTTCTATGCCCCCTGCCATCCAGCCGTCCAATTTTGATCAAGAGAGCCACTCACCATGTGATGTTAGATCCGACATCTCAAAAATTTTATTTTTAGTTTTTCTTATACGAATTGTATGAATATGAACTTTGGTAGGTGCCATCTTCTCATTGGGGTGCACCTATAAAAATTATTTTTTCGATAAAATATAATGACCAAAATACCCTTGAATCTTTTAGGGGTATTTTGGTCATTTTATTGTATTGAAAATATTTTTTTTATATTTTTCCCTGGTGTGAGTTTAATAGAGGAATGGACGTCCAAAATTTGGTGTCAAAATAGTTTATAGAAAAAAATGAAAAAAAAAATAGTGTAGAGATGTGACATTGTGATTGGGGCAATCTTAGCCCTCCAATCAGGATGGACGGTTGGATAAAGGGGAGGATAGAACTTCTATGCTGTAGGGAAAGCATAAAAAGCTTGTCCCTTTTTAATTAGGTGCACCTGAAAAAAGTAATTTACAAAATAATTAAAAATAACAAAAACACCCCTAAATATTTTAAAAATATTTTGATCAATTTATTTCTTGATTTCTTTTAAGTGCACCGAAGAGTGTATCCCCAAAATTCCAAACAAAGATTGTTAAAAAAAAAAAAGAACAAAAAACTAACGGCCAAAATACAATAGATAACCCTGCCCATCCGATTTGGTCATCCACACCATTGGGTTTGTACACAAGGTGGAGCATAGGAGTGTGTACCACATTATACATGAACTCCTCCATTTTCGCCAATCTACTCTCTAAACCGTCCACTTTTCTTGGCCATAAAATTAAGCCAAAAAAATTTCCTACTCCTATAGGAGTGTACTATCCATTTACTCCTTCACGTAAAACACATGCTAGGAATACCTTTTATATCTCAAATTTTAGAGATATAATTAAGGAGAGGGATTATATATAATGAGACCATTTACCTTTAGTCCGAGCAGGATACAATTGTTCATAACCATCTGATGTGATAGCTTGGGTGTGTCACAAAGTTCAAAAAAATTTGTTTTGAACCTTGAGCTTGGTCAATTCAATAAATATAGCCACTCAATTTCATATCCAATGATCAAGATTGATTGTGATCACCTTGTATCAAATGTAAATAGTCTCATTATATACTTTCCCTTAGCAAAAGTTTATATAAAGTTGCAACATTAAAATGTAGACTTAAGTTACACCTCAAAAATCCATCATAGAAGGTTGTTTTGGGGTTGAAAAACCCACTAATAGATCATCTCAATATCGAGAGGTATGAATATGAAAAGAAAAAAAGATTCTGAATCCTAAAAATAGTGTATCGTGCAACAAACTACCTAAACCATCTATTTTCAAAATTTTCAAGTGTTTATAGATCTACTTGATTTGAACTGTTTTTGGAGTTTAAAATTTTATATTTAGAGATATAATTAGATTTTCAAGACATCCTAATAATTTTTGATACAATAATTATATTTATTATAAAATTTGGAGGTGCTCCTTAAGTTGATTGTTTAAGATTGCAACCTTATACAAACCACACTCTATAATTAATCACAATAAAATTAATTTTCAAAATAAGCTCTCCATGTACTATAAATAAACAATGCCTTAAGATTGAATCGAGATGGTCTATTTTTTGAAGAGCTAAATCTCATTGTGACAAAATTCAAAATTCAAAATTCAAAACTTTTTCTTTTCTTTTGGAAATAATCATCAACTGGTTCTTTTGTGGCATATTCGACTAAAACAGTCTTTTTAAATAGATGTTTTGTACGAGGGAATAAACACATAGTATGCTCGCACGGAAACATACTACACATGCTAAAAAACAGTCTTTTGTTTTGCGCAAGGGAATAGACGCATAGTATGCTCCCTCGGAAACATACTTCACGTGCTACAAAAGCACTTTCTGAATAGGTGTATTGCACGAGGGAATAGATGCATAGTATGCTCCCACGGAAGCATACTACACGTGCCAAAAAACAAGTCAATTCATCTCCACCGTCAGTGGTCAAAACCAGCGATAGAAAATGTCATGTTCACTATTGAGAACATGCAAAGCAAATTCTTTGCGGCCACTTTCGTAATTATCAGTAATAATCAGGGCTATTCTCGAACTTTCCTCCAGCCGTTTGCCTAATCGGCTTACAGTTAGGGTTCCGTCGCGAAGTCCTCGTTGGTCAGAAGCGACGCCCCCACTTCCCATACCTTCCAAGATAACGCCACGTGTTCCATCGGAGATCGGGCCGATCCCCTTGTTTCTCCAGTGCCCAGCTTTTGATTTTGTCCACGTCGGACACCACGCCCCTCACCTACGTGGCGCCCATCGAACGTTCCAGACCTCCACTTGTGCCATGTCACCACCTCAAAAATCTAATATCTTCTCCCCTTAACCATCGCGCTATATACACATTCTTTTTATCTGACGCCCCCATTTTTCGCTACATTTTTTTTTCCGACCCAAAAATAACGGAGAGAATCCAACGCTCTTTCCTCTTGGATCTGGAAGTTGTTTTCCGGCGTCTGGTTTGTGGTTTTACGGGGAAGGATTGGCTTTTCCCGGCGAGCTTTGGGCTCTGGTATGTGTTTTTCAATGTTAATTTTTATAAATCTGGCGTCATATGGTTCTCCATTTCATGCCGGAGTAGTGTCATTTGCTTTTGTTTAGTAGAAATTTGGATGTTTTGGCTCTCTGTTTGCTAGAGTTTTTGGTTTTCTGAATTATAAGGATGTGGAAACAGTAGGGTTTTTGCTAGTCCTGCTTCTGTGGAATATTTGAATGAAAAAGAGGTTTTAGTGGAAGGAATTGTGTTCTGTTGAATTTGAGGGGTATTTTGGCTTTTAATGTTTATATTTTGAATTTTAACAGTTGAGAGAAGGCTGGGAACATTCTTCATGATTTATACCTGATGAATGGTTCGTTGGGTTTGAAACAAAATATGGGATGAGATTTGTAGAATCCTCTCGAAGTCATGGTTCCCAATTACTATGAATAATGGCAAGACTCTTTAATCTTTGAGGGTGCCTTGATTTGGCGTTCAGTGGCAAAAAATTAAACCAAGAAAGGTCGGGTTTTGCTTTGATGACTAGGGGTAACCACAAACTTGAGGCTTCGTTTGTGTATCATATTCCATTTTCATTGGAGCATCTAGGCTTAGTTGGGGTGTCAGGATGTGCGTGATCTCTTGCCAGCCGAACTTAGGGCTTTTATCTCTTCTTTGTGGGGTAAAAAGTTCACTGATAAACTCAAGACCAAGATCATAGAGAATGAGAATTATTCCGGTATACCCTAAGGGTTGGGGACCAGAAGGATTAGCTGAATTTAACAATCACAAGAGAGATGAACATGGGCCAGTTAGAGATGGAATCATGGGAGAGGGGCAAGGGCTCTCAGAGGAGGATGAATCTAGGATTAATGAAGCGGCTGATAATAACATTAATGGTTCCCCACCTTTAAGGGAAGCAATAGATGCTGTGGTCCAAGCTGAACAAGCAAGACCACCACAACAACATGCCCAAGGACCGGTGGTTCAATGGGAGAGGTTTCTTCCTCTCAGATCATTGAAGGTTTTGTTGGTAGAAAATGATGACTCGACTCGCCAAGTTGTGAGTGCTCTGCTTCAGAACTGCAGCTATGAAGGTCAGAGCTCTGTTGTTTCATCTTTTGAAATTGAAAATTTAAGTTTTTATCTATGTTTTGTGATGGTGTAGTGATGATTATGTGCATAAGACCACAATTATGTTTACCTTCTTGATCGCTCTGTCACATCCACCTTTATGCTATTCTTTAGAATTGGAATCTAGTGAACGATTGTTATGCTTATTTAAATAAAAAAGTCTTATGGGTAGAATTGGTTTGTTCTTTTCTACTTTTTGAATATCGATACACACTTAAACTTCAAATAGAAAACAACAGGACGTCACATATGCTTGTGAGTGAAATGGCCCTGTATTACACCCTGATGATGAGAGTGCATCATCTTGAAAGAATTCCAAAATGTTTTTGTTCACCAACTCATAAAAGTCTTAGAAGAAGGCTATGCAAAAACATTCTAGCTTATGGGCTTTGTTGAAAGCCAATATCATCCCCTGAATTTCCTCTTCTACAAAAAGAAAATTCAAGGTTGAATCATTTCCATGGGAGAAGTGCTGAAGGCTATCCTATCCATCCTCACCTTCTATCCCTTATTGTATTGAAAAATCTAATAATTCCTTGGAATCAATCCTCTTTAACTCAGTTCTCCTCCGTTTTCCATGATTGAACTTATTATGTTCCCTTGCCTTCCCGCTTCGATTGTCACGCATGAGTCATATAATTCTAGGTTTTTCTGTGAGTGGTCTCTCCCATTTTGATTTCTGCCTAAGGGTCCACTCTAGGTTCTGATTTCCTACATCTAATAGGTTCATAAATGTGTGTATCTCATCCAAACTTTCAAGATGTGCAATCTCTTCTAGTATTCTTGCCTTTTCTTGTGAGATCACCAAAAGGCTTATGTGTTCTATTTCTTAATCTTTTAATTGACCTCCTAGAGTTTGTTGCCTGCTTTGGATTCAAAGCAAAATTGTCTAGGATTACTTGTTCCATTCCACCCAGCTTACATGTCTAGAAGTATCTGACACTATTATGAAGTGGCCTTTGGTAGAACCTTTACATGTCTTATAATTTGAAACCAATCGTACGATGTGAAATACGATCCATTGAGGGAGAGATAGGTTTCAACATCATTGTAGATTTCACATATCTCCATAAGAAGCAATTATTAAGAAGACCTCTGAAGGATGTGATGAATTCAACAAGCTCGAGGTCTCTGGGAGAATGATGTATTCAGGGAATTAGTTTTTCTTTTTTCCTTGAGGGTTGTTTTTGTCATTTGTTTATGTCTAAAATAGAAAGTTACAAAATTAAGCATTAGGTTTTTTAAGAGTCAAGTTAATTGTTAGGTTTTATAAATATGTGATTATACTTTGTAAGGGAAAGAAATCGAATTGATCTCTTTAAATCTTGTAAAAATATATTTTTAAGGTAGATTCCCTTGTAGGCCTAAAGAGATGGCCAAATCTCTGACCTTTTGGGGTTGATTCCGCTGGAGATCGTTCTCATGTTCATTGTTTGGTTAATTCTAGTTCTTTCTAATTCTCTCTTTTTTTTGGCATCATGTGGCAATGGAGAGCTTTTGAAAGCTGATTGTCCCTCACCCTCTCAAAGTAGATGATAGGGAAAATCATAGATATCCCCTAGACCCAACTTTTTAGCTATGCCCACCCCTAATAATTTTAAACGACACAAATAACCCCAATACCATTTATTTTTGTACCCACGCCCAGGTAAAAAAGAGCAGAAATATCCCATACAACCCACATTTTTCTCTTCCCCCCTTGTTATTTTTGTAAAAGAAGCCAGTCCCCCACATAGTGCGCCAGACAATCGGCTTCTAGACTCCATTGAATCCAGTATGGAACACAATGTACCAAATTGGCTTCTGGACTCTACTGTGGTCGGTCCCACACACAATGAAGCCGATGTGGCACATAGTGTGCCAAACCAGCTTCTATTACCTATTGAAGCCAATCTAGACTGGCTTTATTTTAAAAAATGAAGCTATCTGGCCCACACCGGACCGGCTTCTAGTCTCTATTGGAGCCAGTTCGGCACACATTGTGCCAGACTGGCTTGTTTTTTTTTTCTTTGAGAGAAACTTGCTTATACGGGGTATTTTTTGTTCTAAAATAACTATTTTCTTTCTTTTTTTTGGGGGGGTGCACAGTAAATAGTATTGAGGTTAGTGTGTGGATTAAAATGTATTGAGGGTGGGCATTGCTTAGAAAGTTGGGTCCGAGGGGTATCTATAATTCTCCCTAAATAATACCTAAAGGTCCTTATATATATCTATAGAAGTACAATAAACAATTGTTGTGAATGCCCTAAAAAATGTTCATAGTTTTTCCATTAACGATTCTGGCCAAGCAACCATGGTATGATAGAACCATGGTGTTCATTGCTTATTTTAATCTAAGCCCTTTTTCTCATCTTTTGGTGATAATCGCAGCGCAGTCATTGCTTCCCCATTCATAGGGAGGCATGAAGTTGTTGCCATGATGTCCTATCCCAGACTCTCTTGCACTAATCCAATCTTAGGGCGAATGCACAATTATGGTGGTAATTTGGCATAAATAAAAAATTGAGATCCCTATGTACAATATTAGAATATGAAGGCTAATGGTTACATCTTCTCATATATAATTTGTGCAAGTCATGTGTTGGGACTTAGACTCATGGTCTTGTATTCTCCTTTGCCCCTCTAGCTTATTATGTCATAAGCATCTTTGGTTCGGTTCTAAATCTAATACGCACTGGTCAATCACTATGCAAAATATTGTAAATTGGCACTTTAATATTGTAAATTGACACTGTTCTAGTTCCAAGCATCTCAGATCTTGAATAGAATAGCAGGGCATAACATAGATGGAGTAGTGCATTACTACTATTACATCTTGAACATGGCCCAAAAAAGAGTATCTTGCATGTGAACATGGTAAATAAATTGCATTCTAACATACTGGCATACCAAGTTCAACATATACACTTACTACCCATTTCCTGGCATGCAATACCAATCGTATATAGTTGCTGCACTTTTTTTTGATAACTATTAGCAATTGTATTGATATAAAAAGATAGATACAAGAGATGAAGTATAATCCAAGAGTACTTAACACCTAGGACTCCTGGTAAAAAGAATAGGTTGACAGACCGTATACAAAATGGGGTTATAAGATTACCTCCTTACAAATTAAATTGTAGATGTACAAAAAACGATGCAAACAGGATTGAAAAAGTAAGTCTAGAAGGGGTTCAAGTAGAGTGCAAGCTTTGTGCCCATTCCAAAAACGAACCGCTATAGTGCCAAATCTTCAGCGCAGGCCAGTCCTTAGCTAGTAGATCGGTGAACCTGTTCGACGTCCTTGAGATAGGCGTCCATAAGATTGGCGTATCCCTGCAAAGATGTTCAATTTCATCATAAATGGGCACGAGGTACCAAGGGGGAGAAATTGACTTGGAATCCCAAGAGATAATGTTCCTAGCGTCACCCTCCACTAAGAGAGTCTGTCCTCAAGGCCGATCGAAGCTCTGTATGCCTCTAAGGAGAGCCAAGGTATTCGGAGTTGGAGAAGAGGACGTTTTGAAGATGATCTCTAAAGACCCCTCTTGCACCTGCGTGGCCAGGATTGCCTAAAGAGCAACCGTCAAAATTAAGTTTGATTGCTCCTTGGGGAGGAGCAATCAAAGCTGATTTAACTTTGTTTTTCTTCGGGTTGTGGAATAATATATGCTTCCAATTCCGGCTGAAAGAGTCCATAGAAATGTCCTTGAACCAGGGGTGGTTTGCCGCTCAGAAGGTTACTAAGGATGTAACCTTCAAGAAGAGTGAAGGACCAGGGAAGACCTGTCCTCAAAAAATACGCCCATTTCTTTCTTTCCATATGGTCCAAATTGTTGCTGCCAAAGTTGCTTTCCAAAGGATTCTACCCGCCTTCGGCCAATGCGCAGCTAGATTCAAAGCGAAGAGGTCTTTTACCATTGGAGGTAAAACCCAAGGCACCCCAATCAGTTGTAGAACTAGACTCCAAATCTCATGAGCCACGTTACAGTGCAGAAACAGGTGATCATTGGATTCCTTTTGGCACAAAGTAGGTGATCCACTGTGAGTGCCCTGTTTGAACCTGCGATCTAGTTAAAAGTTTGCACCTTTGGAGGTGCAATGGTCAGCCAAACTTGTGCAAGGATCGAAGTAGGGTTGAGGGGCAAAGTGGGGGGTTGGATAAGCCTTTTGTAGAAGGAAGTCACAGTAAAATCCCCTGAAGGGGCAAGGGACCACACCAACTTGTCCCTTCCCTGGACCGGGATAAAAGTGTTGTAGAGCAGAGACGATAGAGAGAGGAATTGATGAGATTCCCCCTCAGGAAGGTTCCTTCTAAAAGAGGGATGCCAACACTTGTAGAAATAAATCTAAACAATCTCACCTTGTAGCCTTTTTTTTTTTTTAAAAAAAGGGCTTGCAAATTACAGATTAAATTACATGATATCCCTCAATCTATCACATTTAATTTTCATGTGTTTCATTTAATTTGATTATTTTCTGCATGTTTAAAAATGTGAGGAAGGACTTGCTCATCTGATTAGATACATAAGAAAAGCGGGGATAGTGTTTAGCTCACTGGCTGTTAGTACTTTGCCAATATATCACCAAAGGACCTAAGATCCTCAGTCAATGACTTGATCATCTTCATGGTTTACATGGTTCCAGAGATTGTTGGTTGCAAGCATTGATGTACTGGATGTTTGTGTGTACGCATTCAATGGTTTCCTTCACAGTGGACTGAATTACTCTTCGTTTTTTTCCTTAATAATTATTCTCTTGGATCATATGCTTGTCTTCATCTCTAGTATTAACCATAACAATGAAGTTTAGTTCTTGTTATTGTTCTTCTGTTCTTACATGGTTTGCTTGTTTCTTGGCAGTGACTTCTGCTGCAAATGGGCTACAAGCATGGAAAGTTCTTGAAGATTTAAGTAACCATATAGATCTTGTCCTGACTGAGGTAGTCATGCCTTATTTGTCAGGCATTGGTCTTCTTAGCAAGATTATGAATCACAAAACTTGCAAGAATATCCCTGTGATTAGTGAGTATTGTTTCTTTATATTTTTCTTTTTAACTCATTATAGTACAAAAGGTATGTTTTATTTGTTTTCATTTCTGGTACTTTTAACTACTACCCCTGATGAGTTTTTTGTGCAGTGACGTCGTCTCATGATTCTATGGGTGTAGTATTTAAGTGTTTGTCAAAGGGTGCGGTTGACTTCCTAGTGAAGCCCATTCGGAAGAATGAGCTGAAAAACCTTTGGCAGCACGTTTGGAGACGATGCCATAGTGTAAGTACTCTTTAGCTAATTTTGAAATAAAAATAGTTATGGGAATGGACCATGATTTACATTTCATTACTTCATATTCATGAAATGTGTGACCACTTTCTAACTTGTCCCATTATCAAAAATACCCTCGAAATCATCTCCTTGACAAAATGTTTGTATCCTGCAAGCTCTCCTGTGAGTACACAATTGCATATTCTTTGTTTTAGTTGATATTTGGGATCATAATTACATTTTATTGTTTCTGGTCCATACTTGTAAAATGCGCATACTTGGTGTTATTTTTGTACTTTCATGTTGATTTCTTATCCTTTTTTTATAGTCTAGCGGCAGTGGGAGTGAAAGTGGAATACAAGATCAAAACTCCCCAAAGTCAAAGAATGCGGATGATTCTGATAACAATGCTGGTAGCAATGATGGGGATGACAATGGAAGCTTTGGCCCCAATGACAGGGATGGAAGCGATAATGGAAGTGGAACTCAGGTGTGGTGAATACTCCTCTTTGTTTATCTTCATGGTCTGTCTAAAGTAACTCATTTGCACTTTATAAGTTTAGTCCAATGTAATGCGGTTCTTTATGTAACTTGTATAATCTGCTCCCTTACGTTTTGGGTCTTTGAATTGTTCCTTGCCGTGTGGAATTTATAAATGTTTAATAAATCCATTGATTCATACTGCTTTGATAACTCTGGTCTTTTTTCTTAAGTTCAATGCTTTAGATAGTATTTGAATTCGCTTGGTCTTTAGCATGTTTCTGTTTGTGAGTTTGCTTGTTTGTAGGAGCTAATGACCTTGATTGTTTTCTATAGTTCATTCATTTGTAAACCATTTTGTTCTAGGAAGAAACTCTCTCAAGCACGATTTGGTCTAATGGTTTGACCATAGTTACCGGAATCTCTCTACCGAGGTTGTGAATACGGTTCCGAACTCCGATTCGGCAATTCTGAGAAGGAATCTTCAAAGGAGCCCGTTTCCTGGAACTTTGGAATCTCAATTCCTTAATTAAGGAGTCTCGTTTCAAATCTATTCGGAATCTTGATCCCGTTATTTATGGAATCTCGGTCCCAACTTTTTCGAATCTCGATTCCAACATTTATTGAACCTGGATTCCACATCTCTTGCTTCCCAATTTTAAATGTGATGAATCTTGATTCATTTTGGTTTTGAATCCACAATCTACAACATCGAGTACCTTGGTTCATAGGTGCAGGGAATTGCGATTCAATCAAAATGGAATCTTGCTTCAACCTCCATAGAATCTCGATCCGAACTATTTTGGAATCTTGATTCCACAAAAATCAAGTACTATTGTTCATAGGTGCACAAATCTGCGATTCATTGTACATGCAATCTCACCTCAAATTTTTTTGGATTCTGATTTCAGTTATTTAGAAACCCAATTGGAAGACATTGTTTCCCGTGGTCTATAGGTGCTCCAAATAATAATCTGATGATCACAGTTCCGAAATATTTGTAACTTGAATCAACTTTCAAATGCAAATGTTTAGAGTTAAAAGATACTCAACATGTATGATTCTAAATGTCTTTTGCAGGTAACAAAGGTGAGTATAGCTAGGGCATTGGAGCATTAACCTTTGAGCATTAAAATATAAATAATTTGCGACTTCACCCTCATTATCTTAAGGCACAAAGCGCTCAATATGTATGAGATTTGCACTCAATTCTTTTTTTAATTTTTTAATTTTTTTTTGGAGAAGTGATGTTTTCTATGTCAAACTTCTCTTCTTTGTTTTGGACAACCGATTCGTACGATATCGAAACATCAAATTACTTGACGCCCATTCTCAAGTTGCAAGATGCATTCATTTTTGTCTTTTTTTCTTTTTTACAGCAAATGACCAATAAAAATCAAGTGGTCCTTTACAGACCGATTTCATTACTCGTGAATTGCAATGATCCATTAAAAAGATTGTAAGTGGAGAAATTTAAAAATAATGTACACATGGTGAAAGTCGATGATGTGAACTAGCATGGTCTATGTAGTTTAAAATTTTTCCTTTACAATACCAGCTAGAACACTTACATATGTCCAAGTATTACAATTAAAACTCAAATAAATGAAAAGAAATACAATAAATGGATTTTCACTTGCTGCCACTTTCAAACTCTTCATTACATAATAAAAAATTACATCAATTGATATTGGGACCAAGAAAACATAAAAAATAGAAAACAAGACAATGTGTCAAAAGATTACCTCTAATGGACTTTGTACATCCCACACCGGGTCTCTTCTAGCGACGGTACACGAGATTTAGAGAGCACGCATACAAGATGGGACCTCTCTTCCTCTCACACTGTGGGGCGTGCCCCTTCTATGTTTCACAAGCCCTAGGGTGTGCCCTTCTTTCTTAGAGACTCTTTGAGAGAGAGAGAAGTGTAGAGGGTGGCATGCCACCTTGAGGGTGAGACAAAGAGAGCTCAAGTCTAGGTTAGGTTAGAGACCCCCCATTGAGATGTTATATATAAGTTAGGATAAGGTTAGGGTTTCTTAAGGTTTGGCTATCCTTATGAGATTCCATCTAGACCATTGATCAAAAGTGACTCGTGGGGATGAGAGATATTAGTTATATAATCCATAGATCAGCCATCATGATCTAATGGAAAGTGCTAAAACCTTATCCCTCAGCTTTCTTGACCTAAATATATCATATATAATGTGTAGAGAAAATTTGTCATGACTTTCCTTGTATTTCAATCAATCTCTATTCATTCCCTTCTTTAAATCAATTAGCCCCTTTTACAAGACCTCCTTATTTATTTTACAAATCATGTTGCATGGGTTATCACGCAAGCCATTATATTTAGAAGGTGAGAAAAGTGGGGTGTCCCACCTATTGTTGCATAATGGACCCCACACCCATATCAAGGTGAGCCTAAAATGGTGGGCCCTTATGTGTTATTGGCGCCTATAACAATTAAGAAATTGTAAGACATAAAATGATTTTTAGAAAGTCATTAATATTTTTATTCTCTCTGAATCTTTAAGTACTTGAAAATTCAGATGAAGCTTATTTAAAGATCAATTTTGATGAAATAAAATATCTGTAATTCTAAAATATTATTTTAATATTCTAAAAATTATTTAAAATAAAATTAATTATTTCTAAATTAATTTGATGGGAATCAGATCCAACTTCATTAAGGAAAATGCAAAAATAATGAGGCACTCCATCTCTACTGGTGATTATGTCCCACACTCATTTTCTCAAACTGCCCCATTAGTTCCCATGACCCACAGGCCGTCATAGGGGTTCATGATTGGACTACCAAAACCAGCTAATAGGTGATAAAAACACAATTATGAACTTTAGGTTCCCCTTAGGGACAAGCCTAGGTCACACAGACTTGTGCACACTCATCGTAATTGATACATGAGGGCTATCTCTTGTACATGGACATGCAACACCCTCAATGGTGTCTACTTCCCAATACAACTTTCATATGTACATGCCGTGTGATGGTCATGATGAGATTTTGGCCCTTGTTCCTTCGAGCCTACTAATCACATACAAGGGTCATAAAGTCCTTTGGCCAACTACCCTGGGCATCTCTTGGTTGTGCTACATGCCCAAGTATCATAAGGTTTTAGAACTCAACTTGGCCTAGCTCGTCAATCGTAGTTTGAGTCATGACATCAATATTGCCAACTTTGGTCCCTCTGACTGAAGTTCATTATTCCACTATCATGAAATTTACTACATGCTCTCGTAAGGCCTTTAAATGGCCAAAAAAATCCAACAATGTGTGCCATTTTGATCAAATAATGGTCATGAAACTATTTGTTGCATAATTTATTTTTGTATGCCATTATTGGACTACTCTTTTAGTAATAAGTTATAAATGGTTTGGTAATACTTCATTATCGTGCAAAATTAAAAAATCAAAACCAATTATCCATGTGTCAAGCTTGATGCTAATTTTAAGGCAGTTCGAAATCTCGATTGCCAGATGGTGTCGAAACTTGAATCCAAACTGCTATTAATTCGATTCCAATCCTGATCAAATCTTGATTGGAAACGCCTAGGAGTCTCGATTCCAAAGATGTGGGAATCCCAATTCCATAAATGAAGGAATCTTGATTCCATATTGATCGATTCCAAATAAGTTGGAAACTCAATTCTATAGAGCTAGGAATATCAATTCCATCTATGTAGGTGTTCGATTCCATGTTGGTCGAATCTCGATTCCTGTAAAGTAGGAATCTCGTTTCCCACAACGTCGATTCCAAAACAGGAAATCTTCTAGCTGCCCACCATTCTGCGATTCTAATTCCTAAAACGATTCGGGTTCAGAATTGTTTCTAACAACTATGAGTTAGACGCTTGATTTGTACGAGGGCAATCACTGGTATGTAACTCATACAAAGCAAGCTGGACTACCCAATTAAGTGGAAGAAGCTTGTTCTGTGCTGGGTCGATAATCCAAGAAAATGGAGAGATTGAGGAATATTTTGCACATTTTCAATATCTTGGGTCGATAATCTATGAAAATGGAGATATTGAGGAAGGTGTCATGCATAGAATTAGAGTTGGGTCAGCAAAATGGAGTTGTAAACCAGATTTTTATGTGATTGTCGTATACCAATGAAGTTGAAGGGGAAATTCTATAGGACAACTGTGAGACCAGCTTTGCTTTACGGAGTGGATTGTTGACAATCAAGAAATAATCTACCCATAGAATGAGTGTAGCTAAGATGAGGATGCTGAAATCGATGAGTAACAAGACAAGAAAGGATAGAATTCGAAATGAATACATTCAGGTTAATTTAGGTGTGGGTCTAATAGGCATGTGCAGTGCAGACCCAGTGTGGGTCTAACAAGATGAGAGAAAGTAGATGGTGGTGGATTGTCCATGTGCAGTGCAGACCCAGTACGGCCCCTATTAGGATGTGCAAGCTGGTTCAAGTGGAAGGATAATAAAGGGTTAGGGGTTGGCCCACATGGACATGGTTAGAAGTAGAGAGAAAAAATATGGCGACTTAAGGGCCTCATTGAGGGTATGGCCTTTGATAGAGCAGAATAGCAGACCGGGATTTGTGTAGCCGATCCCAAACAGTTGAGAAAATGCTTTGATGATGATGATGATGATGGTGATGAAGCTTGTTCTGTGTTGGCTTGTAGTTTGTTTGTATAGGATGCATAGAATATTCTAGCTTCTCAAGTCTTTGTGGTGTTTCCATGTGAAGAAAGGAAGATGCAAGTGTCTGAAGTGATATTTATGTTTGCTTATGGAAATCATCTGAACCAATGTGCTTTTGTCTATACTCTCCTTTCTTTGGGTTTTCTTTATGTTTTCTAGAAAGCATCCTTACTATCGCATCCATTGTTATTTACTGCATCAATTCATGGTACTGCTACAGTTATTCCAGCTGCTTTGGACCTCTACAAATGACTAAGTTTGGATGAGTTGGTAAATGGTTTGAACTATGTGGATGCAGTCATACCACTTCTGCTTTTTGG